GGGCCTGTGCTGTCTCTCTAAAGGCATGCCCTCATCCTACACAAGATAAATCGAGGCGGTGTATGGATGCTGACGCCGTGTGAGGCTTACATACAGGCGATTACTCTGGAGCTGTTGACTGTGATAACAAGTTCATGTCCCGGGACTGCTACAGATCTATTTTAAAGTAGTTGAGCTTAAGTATTTTATTGCTTATCATTTCAGCAGAAGTATGTGACAGGGGGTGTGGGAGCAGAATTTCTGGATGGCATAGGATGATTTGGGTGCATAAGGAGTACAGTAGGGCAGATTATGCTGTAAAGCATTTCAGACTTCATGTAACAATGCAAACCATTTGGTTTGTTGTATTTGCAGTACTGGAACTTCCCAAAGAGCTGTCAGAGATGTTTGATCCAACGAGAGGTATGTTCACTCCCCGACCCACGGCTTTGTTCTGTGCCCATCTACCCACGGAAGTGGGACAGTTTGTTTTATTCACTGCCTTTTTGATTGTTTTGGGGTTGTGGTTTTGTAATGTCCTTGTGGTCACTGGTGGCTGCTGGCTCCCTACTTGTAGTTAGGCACTTTTAAAATTACTAGTTTCTGTATGTATTTTTCTGTCTTTATGTTGCCAGTAACCTCTGAGTTTGCCCTACAGTGTGCAGACGAGGGCTTTCCTTTACCCATGCCAACGCTAATCTGTGCTCTGCCTTCCCATGCTCCTTCTCCAACTTGTCTGCACCATGTTAAAAAAAAAATAAAATCCTGTTAGTTGCGTTTCAGCTGTAGCCTGCCTGAGGCTAATCCAAGCAGATAATCTAGGGAGATAATCTTCTCTCTTCGAAATATCCCTCCTTGGTTTTGGTGGTGCTAGTCATTTTGAAGCAGTAGGGGAGGGGATGCTGTCACTTGTGTTTGGAGTTCTGCCTTTGCCCAAGGAATGTGGATGTCGCTGCCTCATGGTGGGGGTGGACTCTGGGCTAAGGGCAGGAGAGGTGAAGGAATTTGGTTTAACATAAGCCTAAACCAGGAAACTGTCTTTATTTGCACATTTATTTCCCGTCAGTGCTGGTGTAATACGTCCTAGCCCCGCAGTTAGGCAGAGCCGAGTACACACAAGCACTTTTTATGGTGGTGACAGGATCTGTACAACGACGGTCCCTAGTTGTGTGCTGTAGCATGTGCTTTGTGAAAGTGCTGTCTTTGGGTAAAGACCCCGCGGTTCCAAACGCAGACACACAACCATCCGATCTGTGCACTAGGAGCTCCAGGCTCCGCACTTGGCCTGGAGAACACCTTTCCTCCTTGCTCGGCACCCATTGCTGTAGACAGTGGATGAGATTTTGGTAATGACTGAATGCATTGGAAGAGTAAATTTGACTTCACAATGTGAAACATAAACTGCTGCAAGGCCCCTGCCCGTGCAGAAGGTCTAGCTTGACCCAAACTTATTGCTATAGGACGATGTGGACACGATTAAAAAGATGTTTGCTGTCTACGGTAATGTATATTCTTTTATGGACTGTTCTTCCCAATTTGGAGGGGGAAGGTACAGATCCAGGAGCGAAGGACAAAACAGCCAACAGCTACAGAGACAAAACTCAGGACTGGAAAAAAGCAACACTACAGAGCTTGGGGAAATGGACCTTGGCAGCGTGCTCTACGCAGCCTCTTTCATCCCTGTGTGATCGCGGTGATGTTGCCCTGGCACTGGCTGCTGCTTTAAGGCTATGCAGTTTAAGCTGCAAGAGCCTGGAGTTCTTCCTTAGCGTTACTTTTTCTGCATGGTTTGCTCTCTCTTTTAAACGTGTGCTTAATAACTGCTCATTTTAAACTCGTATCTTGGAAAAAACTTGTATTTCAACACACACATATTCAACACACCCTGCTATATTACCAGCCTTGATGTAGGAATGCAGGTTCTGCATTTAATTGCTATTTATTGAAGCTGGTATTAGTCCTGTCTAGTCGCTTGGTGTTGAAATTCTCTCCTCTCACAGCACTAAATTAGACAGGTAGGTTCCTGCCCTCTAGGAAACAGTGTGCTGTGGATAAATGTCTTGAAAATGGGCTCAACTGAGTTTCTTTTGTGAAAGCCTATTTCAAGTGTGGGTAGTATCATCAACCCAATTAGATTGAGTTAGATATTCACTATCTTAACTTGGTAAAGTGAAAGAGGTATTCGAAAAGTTGTTTTCAAACGCTCAGCTTAAAGAAAAGAGATTGACTTGCATGTGCCTTATCTGGGTGCTTGTCTGTCTACCGTTCAAGTGCTTCGGGAATCTCCTGGCTGAGAGTAACAGTGCTGTAGGAAGGAATGACATTTCAGAGATAATAAGTTTTTTTTACAGTTTTGTGGGGGCAGTAGAGGGGAGAAGGTTTGGGGCACCAGGTAGCATGCAGGGGCAAGGCCCAGCCCGCCATGTGAAGGAGACTGGCGTATGGTTGAGCTAAAGCAGGCAGAAACCCCCTGCAGAATTTTTTCCTGTAGCTTGACTTGTCTGACCCCAATTTCCCTTTGCCCATGGCAGGAGGCCCGAGCCTCCTTTCACTGCTGCCTGCTGCACACGCTGTGCCTTAGCCAGAGAAGGAACAACAAGGGTGAGGGCCAGAAGAAGTTGGGAGGGGTGGGAGAAGGTTGGGAAGGGTGGGATACTGCACAGGAGCAGACCGGGAAAGCAGAGTGCATTGCTTAACCGTGCTCGTCTCTTCCCCAGAGTGTATGAACTCTGAGCTGCTGGAAGAGCTGATGTCATCAGAAGGTGAGTCTTTGAGAGTCCCCCTCACGGTGTGGCCTTTCTCGGGGGGGGAAGACCATGCCGTATGACTTTACCCAGCTGACAGCCTTGCGACTGCAGGCTCGCACTCATCTTTCCCGGGCTCGGGACACAGACTCCGTTCTCAGTGTCGCGCCAGTCCCTGCGAGGGACCAGAAGAGCCTGTCTCTTCCATATTGCACGGCTGATTGGAAGCGAGCTTAAAGGCTGTTCCTGTGAGGTGGCTTCCTCGTCTCAGCTAGGCATGAGAGTGCTGAGTTTTGTAACCAACTGTACGCTTCTCTTTCCCCAGTGTTTGCTCCATTGCTCCGCCTCTCCCCTCCACCTGGAGACCACGACTACATCTATAACCTGGATGAGAGCGAAGGTGTCTGTGACCTCTTCGACGTGCCTGTCCTCAACCTCTGACTTCACAGTGCGGCTGTGAGCCTCGCAAACACAGACCGTTTTGTAACTCTTTGGAAAGTGTCTATTTTTGGATTCCTTTTGTGCTAGAGCTCGATGAGCGAGCGATTCAGAGATGCTCTCATGCGGACACAGAACCAAGAGATGTGGACTTGCAGGCCGGGAGCCTCCCCGTAGCTTTTTCCTCTTCCTCTGTTGCACGTGCGAGGTGTGTGTGCAACTCGCTCCGCCGCGTTTCTCTCTCCACTGGATCCTGGGCCTCACTTCAAAGGGTCTGTGTTTTGAGTGTTCCCAGTTCACCCGTAGAGTTTGCCCGTGTGCCTCTCCGAGCTTCCTCAGATCTGCATGCCTTGGTTTTTCCTGCACTCCTAGAGGCACTTTGCACCTCCTAGGTACCAGCTGCTACAAGGAGCCCTGATATCGTGGTCAGTTCACAAGCCCGGAGGTAGTTAGCTAGATTTCTCAATGCGACTGGTTCAGATTGGGGTGGTTATAGCTCTGAATGACAACAAGGAGAGAAAAAAAAGAAAATGGCACCAAAGTGTCCATTTCTTCCAGTGACTCCAGACCAAGTTAGTATGTTTTACAAGAAAAAGCACTTTTTTTAGCCAGCTGTGCCTCCTAGTGGGACTTGGGAGTTGAGCGTTTCTAGTAGGACCCAGGAGCTGAATCTTTCCCTGCTTGTGCATCAGCGGGATTGCTGGTTCTGCGTTCACCAGTCTGCTGATGCGTGAGCCGGGGGGCTCCAGCTCCTTGTACAGCAGCTCTGCTGTTTCTCCAGGGCTAAAGAAGAGGTGCCAGTATGTTTTGTCATTGTTTTTTTTTTTTCTTTTTAAATTTTTATTTGTTTTTGCCTGAGTGAAGAGATGTTTGAAAGGATAAGACTGCTCCAGCTGGTGCCTGTAAGGTACTCCAGGTACATCAGAGCCTGCTCATATTTGTGAATAACTTCTCCAACCATTGCACTTGAGCCTTCAACTATCTAAAAGGCGACCAAGCAGTAACAATTCAGTAGTACTTTGCCATGACAGGTTATGTAGTTATTGTCAAAATAGTGCTTTTTTTCCCCCTGCCTTTTCTCTCTTAGCATCTGCTCAGGATCAGGCTTTCTGTATATTTGAATTTGCTCCTCTAGTGTCCATGCCCACACTCCCAATTCCTGATCCCGTGGCAGGTCGCTACCTGGTGTGATGCTTTCTCTGCATCATTTTTCCACAAGATTTTCTCCTCTGCTTTGTAATGGAAGGTCTGCTGTTGGGTTCGTTATGATGATTGGGTGGTACCAGTGTCGGACCCTCGTGCATTTTAGTTGGAGCAAAATGCCCTGATGGATTTGTGTTGTATTTTGCAAGCCCCAACTTTGGTTTTCGGTCA